TTGTCGTATTACATTTTAATTCTTAAATTTATTTTTATGATAAAGATTAGACTCATTTCATTAAACTAGTAAGAAGTTTCTGAGAATACGTCAGTTAGTGGACACATATTTCAAAAACTAATAATATTGTATTACTGTACTTAAATATTACTAGTAACTATTTAAATATCAATTTTATTGACATTTCAAAAGGAATGAATGTCATATTCGCTAGATATAAATAAACGTTTAACACAAGTTTAATATATTCCTTATATTGTATACAGAAAGCGAAACGCATTTGTCGCACGGATTATTTAAAGTTATTGGACTCAACGCCATAAATCGGGATTAAATTTCTGTCAATTTGCATTTTATTATAACGAGTAACGACATACCCTTAAGCTCCAACTACTAACACGGCTTTGTAAAAGATTAATTCAAATTAGCGATCGTGACGTTTCGCCGCCATTTTCATTATAAATAGTTTAATGGAATCTACGAATTTTCATCTTTTGTAATATAAATTAAAGAGAATTTCCGAAAGAATAATTTTATAAATTTGGTTTGTGAATTTTAGGACAGTCCCACAATATTTATCATACTTTTCCTAAAGTGATAATAGATATTATATAATTAGATTTTTTTTCTATTAGTGATTTCCTACAGCATTTTTTTTAATAATAAAGAGCCTTATTATACTTACCGATTCCTTCGGTACTTCTAAAATTAAATAAATTGGCGTCATCTCAGTGAAAACAACATTTAATAATTGTAGAATAACTGTAAGTACTGCCCTGCTGCCCTTTGTACATCTCTTATTGTGCAATAAAGAATAATAATAATAAAAAAAGTATTTGAGAAAGTTGCAATTTTTTTCTTCTGACCATATAAATATGTGCACTAAATTACGTTAAAAATCTGGGCTTAGGCCTCTACTCCAAATATAAAAGGATTGAAAAACGTGGCTAGGAGGTAATAGATATCCTCATGTTACTCAAAAGTTTTTATTGGAATAAAATAAATTTCATTGGCCCACCTTAATCGACGCAGGGAATCGATAGGAAGCTGTTGTCAATGAACTTAATATCAATTTGAAACCATTATGAGATACCAATTATTAACATGAGAAGCTAAGAACAACAAATTAAGAAAAGAAAAAAAGGTAAATTAAAGTTTCAGAGAAACATTTCTCGAACAAGACAGGATTAGTTATAAGAAATATTATGAATAAAGAAATATAAGATGAAACTTTATTAAAATACAAAGTAATGACATCAAATTTATAAATCAATAAATTAACCTGATTATGTTTCGTTGTACCTGATTGTTTTCGATTTCTTCAGTAAAAGCACATTTGACTATTTTAGCATAATTTTTATAGGGACAATAAATTTTAATATGCTATTTAAGTTACTAACTTCATGGGTCGAGGCTACGTGAGGGATGAAAGACCAAAGGTTTTCTATTTTAATATAATTCATTTAAAATCTTCATTGAATTTTCTTGATATGATAGTATATGTATGTAAAATGTAATCGATCATTCGCCTCACGATCGAGTCGTATGCTCCGCTGCGAACCGAAGACTGCTTTAAAGGTCTTTTCCCTAATTCCATTACATCCAGGGAGTCTATTACGTCAAACGGCTTCTCAATTCGGAAAGATCAAAGGGTAATAGAAGTAGCGTTTGTGACAGAGTTAATGTCTTAATTTTACAATATATATATATATATATATATATATATATATATATATATATATACGAAGTGAGCTTAATAAATGTTAATTTAAAACGTCTACAGAGTAAACTTTTAAGATTGCGTTCTGTTCACATACTTGAGGTAGTAAATTTCAATTATATTATCACCGTGATTTTTTAACAACAAATAAGGCTCTGTATTTGTAATAGTTGGCTGAGCTTCAAAGAAGTATTCGAAAGTTAGTCATAAATTCACAATAAGCTAAGGTTTCCAGTTGAAAATGTTATAGTGCTCATACTGGCGTGACTGAGCCCGCACGAACTAAGCAATACATACCTCCAGCATAACTTAAACCGACTTCATACGAGGAAACATTATCAGGGAATTACATAATTAGTTTACAATTTTACTTAATGATTGAGTTTCAATTGTATAAAAATATTTTGTACACTTAATTTTTCTTTTCTTTTGCATGTTTTATATGGCCTATAAAAATTGTAAATGTGAAAGGTCGTTAGATCTGTACGACATTTTTATTTTTCGCGCAAATCCTACTATAACTGTTATAATTTAATTTATATCACGAAATACTAATACGCAGATGAAGCTTCGACAAGGAAGTAGTGTATTTAACATTTGCTAAAATATATTATTTATTTGATATATATAACAATTATGGACATTGAAACACAATTAATGAACACGGGAATCAATATTTGTTTTTCACTGAGGGAATTGTAAAAGCATATTGCATTATTATGAATTGGATGTTTAAAAAATAAAGCCAATAATTAATATCAAATGAGTTCAGAGGGCTGCAGTGAAAATCTATTAATTTGACCATAAAGTGTGGCCGTTGGAGTCGACTCGCCAATTATTCAGTCCCCTCGGTAATTAAATACCATGATGTTCGCCAATCTAAGACAGACGCCATTTACGATACTCGAATTACGATTTTATTACCCTTAAAATATGTTTGCGAAATGTTTGAAAAATATATTTCAATTGCTATATTACTTTTCACCTGGGCCAATTTAAAGGATATTTTATCTTTATTATTATAATTTTTCTTATTTGTACACGTGATATTGAAATTGAAACGTTATTTGTTATTCATAAAATAATTTGCTTCTTAAATAAAAACCGCTCATTTTGTTTATGTTGACACAGATTAGAAATTGAATTCTGTTTTTAATAATTAACTGCTATGATTGAAATGAGATACTTTTGTTTTAGTAGCAAAAATATAATATTTGGCTGCTAAAACAAACTGACTTCATAGAGTACATAGGGCATAAAGATAGAAAATCATACAAATAAAATAAATAAAAAATACATGTGGATAGTAAAACTTCAAATGATCTAAAATAGTTTATTATTTTTTGCTCCTTTTATAAAACAATGGCTCATTAATTATCTTATGAAATCATATTAGATTTTTATACAATAAACATACCTATACAATGTGGAAGTGTCTACATGGATATATAATATTTACAAAATATATTTTAATAATAAAATAATGAAACATTATGTTTAATGACCTTATTATTTTTTATTTACACACACTAATCACAACATTAATCAACCATTAGTATTTATATTAAATATAAATAAATATAATAATAAATTTTACAGGCATTTAAACTGTTTTGAAATTTTAAATCTCCTGTTAAACTAGTGCGCGCTTTTCTTTTCATTCTATTTCAATCTATCTCAAAAATTATTTTGATTAAAGATAAATATTGCCAAATTTCTTTAATAGAAAAACAATTGCGAGTTGTGTTAATTGTTAAAAAAAAGTTTATAGATACTTATTTCATAACTTGTAATAGCGGAAATGACAATTTTACTCACTTTTTACACTATTATATTCCACAAAATATTTATCATATCTATTTTTATAACAATATTAACAATATTGAAGCATATTTGTATATCAACAATTTATATCAACTATATTTTCATTGCAAATTATTTAATACTGGCAATTTTCTATACCGTTTAAGGTTATTGCTTTATTTCCTTACTAAGTGAAACTTATCTACGCGCTTACATAATGCACAAAAATACTCGTCATCTTATAAGATACTTTACATTCTATAAGCATGCTTCACAAGGCACTATTCTAGCGAGAATAACTATTTATAATTTATGGAAAACAATGTCAACAACTTCTATTAAATTCGGTTTAAACTCCGAAATGGGCCTAAAATTACATTTTACGGCAACAAATAAACGTTAAATTCAAACAAAAAAACAATTAAAATATTTTGAAAAAGAAAAATATCGAACAGGGAACCTTGTACAGTTGCAACACAATTATAACTATGTAAATGCTAACTCCAAAGCACTCTTGGATTTATACAAACAAGCTTTATTGTAAATATATAACTTTAACCTAGGTTGGCGTTTGTTTTGCTTTTTATATTTATAAGGACGCGAGTGAAAACAAAATCTACGGCTAACATTACAAAGTTTTTGTCTTATTGAACATTAAATTGTAAAATTAGGATAATAAAGAAACAATTTTATAATAATCAAAATGTTTTATTATTCTCAGACCATAGTGCGGAAAACATTAACGCAAAACTGATATCACAGCATTTTGTATTTTATGAATTATCACGATCATCTTCAATAAGGATTATGTACATAACTTCTATTAGGGTCAACACTCAGACATCGATAACAAAAGCAATACTAAGTGAATCTTATAATGCTACCTTCAATTTCTCAGTCACTTTTATAAACAATTATATATAACTATATGTATATATAATATTACTATAAATGCTCTTATAAGCTATCCGACGTTATGCGAGTTCTCAAATGAAATAATTGCAAGCAAAATCAAACAAACATCGGTCATCCATCAAGGACGCAGCCTCCGGAACGCTGAGATATCTATTTTCGCTGATCATTCCTTTACCAAATTATATTTCCCCTCGTCTTAGCCATAAGTTGGAAAAGGCACCAGTCATGTCAGTTTAATCATTTATTACAATGTCAATCAGCACAAACAGTATTGTTACAATAATTTACTGATACCAAAAAAAAAACTTGCAAACGTATTTAAATTTTATATTATTGAATTTTATTTGCAATTTATCGATAAAAATGTAACATTATTGACAACAAGGTAACCTATATATATGGAAAATAGTTTACATATCTATAATAAGCAAAATGTCCAACAACATCATTAAAATGATTTAAATAGTGGGCAATTGAAGTCTATGTTAGTCATCGCACAATATCGGATCAGCGTGACGTGGTGTAATCACTTGTTAATGAAGCCAGCGCCGTGTGTGCCCTATCACCGCAGGGAGGCCACTATCTCGTTGCTCATGCTGTTTTGCTGGCTCGATGCATTCGTGTTTTTGGAGCATTGCTGAAATTACATTTTCGGTAGTATCCGACTCTAATTGTATTAAATTTTGCTGCGCTTTTCGAATTAATACGAGAACTGTTATCTTAACTTGGCAAGAAACGCTCTCCTGCTTAAGAAATTATTATGACTACTTTAAAATAATATACAGATTTTATATTAAAATGATAGGAAAACGTCACAAATTTGACATTAATTATATGTAATTAGATGCTTAATACTAACCATACAATTAATAAATTTTCACATTATGCTTTTTTTATAAAAAAAAATCTTTTTTTATCGTGGTCACTAATTATAGAGCGTTTCTATTAGATAATATGTACATATAGAATATTAATTACAGAGTTATGGGTAAGTAATGGCCAATAATTAAATAAAACTCATCGTTCAAAATAAGTTTTCTGTTAAAGATCGATATATTTGTTTAAGAAATTAGGTCATTACGTAATAGCAAGTTTGTTAAAATGAAGTTAGTAAATGTAGATAGAATTACGACGGCAGGATTAAATTGTGAAGTATATTTTGATTAACAGCTATTAAATAATTTGTAATACAAGTTTTTATACTGTTAATGGTGTCGTTAATAGTTAGAAAAAACTCTAAGTGTTATCTTACCAGTTGTCTCGATTCCCAGGCTTTCATTGCACTTTTATATTTTTCAAATTCGTGACACCAGTCCGAGTAAACTTGTTTATACTCCTGAGATTTGTTAGGTTGGGTACATCTTAAACAAACAAAATTTGTTCTTTCAAATGAATTAGTTTTATATCTAAATTAGCTAATAATTTATATAATGCATATCCGAATTACATGATATTTGAGAAGAGAAGTTAATAATTGTTTTATATTTTCAGTTACCTGTGAATATCTATGTCTAAATTATACGAAGCGATGAGTGTGGGCCCATAATAGCATTCGTAACGTCCTCTGTCAGAATCTGACACCGACAGTAGCACTAAACCGCGCTCTGACGTCTGAAGCACTCGCTCCCAGCTGTCAACATACTCCTTATAATTACCACTATAAATTACAATTAAAAGCAGTTTAGTTATATATATTTACCTACAAAGCACTTATCTGTTAATGTATTATTATACTTTTAATTTTATTAATAATTATATAGTTCGTATGAAATGAACCTAACGCTTATGAATAATAATGACTTACTTGTAAATGATTTTATAACGACCCTTCTCCCTGGAATGGTGGTACCAAGTAACGTGCTGATCTTTTAGCGCCTCTGGCGTTTTTCCAAATGCGGCCAGATGTATACTCTGACCGTAGCCCGCCCTGACTGTTTTCAGAGGGGCGCTGGCTTCACAGATCGATGGTGTGGAGTTTGTGGCGTCGTGAAGTAGCCCGGGGGCGTATGGACGACATGCTCCTACTTCCTTGTCCCAACCGCAGTAGGGGTCTAGCACACAGCGCATGCAACTGTCGTAACTATGGGGAAGCAGTTTTTGTTAACTTAGAAGGGTTTATTTTTTGAACTCCTTTTGGGGTATTCTTCGATCTGTTTAAAATTTATTTGTTCACTGTTCGATAATCATTTTTTACTTGAAAGATACCTGTTTTCGGCTTATTAACTCACTTTCAATTTTTGAGTTTACAAAGTCTCATAAAATACAAGCGTAGAATTTTTTTAACTATGTATGTAGATACGCTTTCTGCTTTACTTAATTTAAATTAAAAAAAATGTTGTTTAGTTTTTTTCAGTTAATTTGACAATTATGTTTTAATTTAGTGGGTTGGTTTTAAATTTAGGAATTTATATGACTTTAAAATTTATTATTTGATATTCCTGAAAGAAAGTTAACATTGATTGCTTTCATTTTGGTTAACAAATCCAAAACTTGATTTTTAGTCATATAAATGTAATATTTTCATTAAATGATCAGCGTATTAAATACATTCTAAGCCAAAAAATAATGAAATATTCCATACACACTAATCTATATATGTGTGTTATTTAATAAAGAAGTATGTAGGTATGAATTTTATTTAAAAAGAAGTACAATATTAGCAGATTCATACAATTTATCTTATAGTACGACGCTAATTAAATAAAAATTGAAGTAAAATATTCATAATATACAGGGTGACTTGTGAATTACTATCAATATTTAAGGAGAATACTCGGTACATGATTCTCATTCGAATTATGTAAAAAAAATAGGTACTTAATTTTTGACCAAATTTCCGTATAAATAAATAAAGTGTGGACCCGTTCTAAGTGTTCGAAGTGTGGAGGCGTGCGGCGGCGTGCTGATACAACACCACGCCGCAGCACGCGTATGTGTGTGTGTGTGTGTATACCTAATCTGTAGGGTATTCACACGATGCGTAATTAATAAGATAACTTTTGGTTAACTTTACTTAGAAGTTTATTAAATTTTATGTTATATTAATTTTTATTTTGTCATATATGATCGTCAAATATCACGTCCTCAAGTATCGATAGTAATTCACCAGTCACCCTGTATAGAATCTCAACATAACGTGGTGAATCCCATTATTTGTACATTTGTATTAAAGGATTTTTGTATTTACATTATACGCAACGTCAGCATTTTTATCGACAAAATACTGTTCAACTTTCGTAAATAAACCGAAAGAGCTTAATAAATATATTTATGTAACAGAATTAAAAATATGTTTTTATTAAGATGTCACAAAAATTGCCTGGTATTAAGAAACCACGGTTGTTACAATTAAATAGATGCTTAATACTTTGTTACAAACTATTATTACGTATTATAAATGTATATTGTTATTTAATAAATGTTACGTAAGTTAATCAATTAAAATATTATATGATAGCATGATGTTAATTAATTATATGATTGCATTACAAAGACAATTATGTGATCCGTGTGATATAATTTAGCTGATTTAGCAGTGTTGGTCAATACCAATACGGCAAATACAATTATTTGCCGTACTATAATTATCTATTATACTCTTCTCAGGATGACTGACCGGTTTGACTTAAAAAGACACAAATATACTTCGTTTTATTTTTATATTAACATTAGTTAACTATTATTCTATAAACAGTTGAAAATTCGTGATTAGAAAGTTGATTTTCTGTTACTTAACATTTAGTTACTTACTTACTTTTACAGTTACTTATTACTTAACATTTAGTAACATTTACAGTTACTTACTTTTACAGTTACTTATTACTCAACATTTAGTAAAATTTACAGTTGATATTGCTATTTAAATGTTGTCGATTAGGTATATGAGATGTTAACAAAAAAAATATTCTCATTCGCAGTAATTATTCAATCTACAATAACAAAGTTTAATGCTTGCTCCAAAAATGAACTGAGAAACACAAAATAAGAAAATACCATAGAGCACTCTACAGAATAATAAACTAAGATTACAATTCTACGACATTATTTTACATAATCACTACAAAGTTCTTTGTTTTATGGTCATTTTAAACATTGACTACATTAAATATTAGAACAGTATTTTGTTTTTTGTATCCGTTAATAATAATAAAATGTTATTCTGCAACGGATTTGAGGTATTAAATAGGAAAATAATTAAATAAATTAAACGACTTACCGATGCGCGCACGCACGTAGCGGAAGTTGTCTCAGCCGATTGTCTGTGGCAAGGTATAGCTCATGAAGTTGTCTTGAGATAGCCAGAGCTCTGACAGGTTCGTCACCAGCGGCGCGCCACACATCTGCCACACGAGATCCGCCCCCCGTCCACTGAACTATCTTATATACCTCACCCTGACCTGATAATAATAGCAATCTATAGAATTGAGAAAGATAGCGTCCATACTCCCGCGGCTTTGTCTTATCCTTGAGAATACTTTAACTTGAAGTGATAAACCGAGCAGAAGGTTTACATGATAAACAATTATATTATATGTTAACAATTTTTATAAAAATCTGTGGTATTTGCTCAAAACTGATGTTAATGAATACCACAGCTAAGTGTTGAAATTAAGATACTTTAGATTTTGTTAATTTTAAATTTAGATTTAACATATGAATATGTTATCTTTAATCTAAAAACAAACACCAAAAATAGCTTTATCGGTATTTTATTCTGTAGAACAATTTCAAAGTTTAAGGTAATTCAAAGTTTACAAAGGCAACACATGGGACAAGATGTATTTGAAGCATTTGGTCTTTATATTAAGGAAGTTTAAACAAATTAGTTTTGTAAGATTGTATTAATCAAAATCTTAATTTTTTAATATGCACATAGATATGAACAGATATCTTAATAATAAAACATACATCAACATTTCCTCAGGATATTTTATTTTTAACTTATTATAAAATAAATACTGTATATATTTTGCTAAAATGATTAGATATGAAATTGAAGTTTATACTTGCAATACTTTAAAAAGGTGCAATAAAGATCTTTAATAACTTTTTTTTAAATTTATTTTTGGGTGTAATTTTTACTTTGTACATAATAGATTTTATGTAGGAAATCATAAAAATTACAATCATAAAAAAACAAACAAAGCATTTAATTAAAGTTAATAATCAGTATTTCCTCTCTTAACATTAATTAGAGTTCGGCATCGGTTATTCAAGCTCAAAATTGATGCTCAAACGAGATCGGTTCGCCCAAGGATACGAATACCAGCCCATACTGTAATAGTGCGGCCTGGGCTTCTTGTGGATGCTGAAGAAGGCTTCGTCTACTAGGAACTCGCCAAACCCTTAATATTCGCGATTTCAGATGAAATCCGAACCAAGACTCATCAGAAAAAAGCACAATGGACCATTGTTCGTCACTCTTGTTACATGTCCACGTGACATAACAATAAAAGTAACATACGTTGAAATTAGGAAAATTTGAAAAAAGAAGAAAATTTGTAATCACTTTTAGTTTTTTAGAACTTCACTATTTTATTGTAACATGAACTATTTTTTCGACTGCAATATTCGAATAAACGACATTCTTTTATTTCATAATGTGTTTTGGTTTTTTTATGTTTGACACTTGGAAAGAAGTGGTAGAGAAGAAAATATTTTATATACCTACAAACTTTTTTATATAGTAACTTACTGGTGCCAGCATAGAATACTGTGTATGTGATATCATCTCCAAGCATATCAACAAACTGTCTGTCCACCACTAAGGTTGTGAGAACCAGGTCACGTTTGTAAAACGCTGGAGTATCTCCTTCATGACGCACTGCCGAATCCATTAACGGATGAGATCTACGAATTATAATAAATACATTGAATAATTTATAAACATATGCATTAAACGAAACGTGCCATTGTTAAGAAAATAACCGGCGATAAATAAAATCATTGAAAGTATAATTTAAATGTTATTGTTTGTAATTTTTTAATGAGAACCTCGATTCTTGTTGAAATTATTGCAGTTGTTAAAATTTACCGAATTTAATTTGGTTTGTTTTAACATATATATTAAAGCGTACGCATTTAAATACACAATATCATTCGAGTGAAGATATTTTTGAAATATATAATTAATGGGTTGTAAATCAAGGGATGAAACAGGTTTACAGGGTACAAACAATCACGTTGACTCTGAAATAAGCTGAGGGAATAGTACAAAAGCAATAATAAATCAGATGTAACTCGACATCGAGATCAATTAAGATGTGGGTAGGTGGGTGACCCAATTAAAGTAACACCGCAACGAAACACATGCGTCGCGAAACTAATGTCAGGTTGATGTTGGGATTAGTCTCGGGGAAAACATACCTATATTAAGATTTTCCATTAACCTTGTACAGTTCATATTGAATTAATATAGTTTATATTGTTTAATACCACAAACAGTTGGCTTAATACAGGCTTTTGTTACATACATTAAAGCCTTATTTTCTGATTGTTACAATGTCGACGTTGTTAAAGTTCGGAGCTTTTTTTATTTGACATATTTCTCAATCACAAAAATAATTTATATTTCAAACAAAAGCACCGGTTTGAATTATTTTTTTATGTTTTAATTAAACTTCCTCAAATTGGGCTCAACTCAAAATATCTACATATGTATAAAACGTTAAGTCATATGGACATTATTAATAATTATTTAATTCTTTCAAAGATAAAATTCCTAATATCACTATTACCTTATAAAGTTAAGAACATTGTCAGGTAATGCTTCTGTAGAGTTAACACAGGTTCCCGGTCGCGGGGAGGGTACCCTGGCTCTTAGTACTGGCAGCCACGCTGAACTCGAAGTCGCCTGAAAAAAACATGACTTTAGCAGAAATCGAAGAGCAGATAAATAATAATCATCTTAAAACATTTGAAGAGTTTATAAATAATGATGAGTAATATAATTTAGCTACAATAATATTTTTATTTCTCCTATTTTCATGAATAAGGCTCAGAGACCAGAAGTAGAAACATAATCATAACATACATTATTGTAATATCTAGGTCAGCTTTTATTTTTTTCTGCACAATTATAATAAAATTTACTTGTACACTGCATTATGTAAATAAAAATAATGAAAATTCTTTCAGGTCTCATTTGAAGCGGAATGAATAATTAATGCCACAAACAATATCATTCCCAACGAGATAATATGAAATATCAATCTGTAACATAAATCTGAATATACAGTGAAGTGAATATAGAACTAACTTGCTCTTTGAACCTGCCGGCAAAAGCTTCTTGAATATCTTCCATGGTGTATGTACAAATTGCAGATCCGATTAAGCCATCACTGGCGCCGGTCGTAAAAGCTGCGTAGAATCTACTGGGATCACCAGGCATTTGATATACGCTCTCTATATGAATAAAATGAACATATTGAAAAGACCCCATAACATAACCGTATAAAATAATATAAGAAGACTGTGGAAATGCACATTCCTTTAGTCATTTAAGCTCATTTAGATTTAGTTTATGAAAATGTTTAAATAGAGCATTATAGACGAATATACCTACCTACTTGAATTTAAATTTTAAGTCGATGAAGATTAACATATGTATATATTTAAGTGAAACATCCACGATAAAATTAAAAATGATTCCAAAATTGAAAACTTTATAATATTGGTATGATAATGAATACTATATATTTTAAATGAAAAACTTACGTATTTCATCAAAGTAGAACGGAAATTCTCCTGGTATGCTACAGTTGAGCCTGGCTTTCAAATAAGTAGCCCAATTTTGGCTTAGAATGTGCTTGCCGCCGGTGTCATGTTTGCATACTCTTGCTACCCGAGAGTAAACTGCTTTCCCACAATTCATGAACTCCACGGCGGTTTCACGAAAAAAGAAAAGAACGTATTCACCGACGTCAAATGACCCCACGAAATTGGTTTCTGTAACAAATTCGTCAGATGATCAATTCTAAAATCTACACCAATAACTTTATATGCATTTTAAAATAACTGAACACAATAACATCAATTGAAGAATATTTATATAAGAAGGTAAGTCTTACAAAAAAAACACTCACTATCCAGCCATTTGGAGTCATACTTGAGAGTCCGTTTGAAGTTAAACCTCTTTTGACCTGTTCGAAAATCAAAGAGGTCATTTCTAAATATGACCGGATCCGCTTTAGTAAATTCGGCATTAGTGCCCGCGTAAAGAGCTGGCAAGCCGCCGGGATTGCCCTGCGTGACCCACACCGCAGTGCTATTGTCTGCTGGGTCGTAGGGACACTTGGCAACCCCCAAGCCCACTCCTGGCACGTATTCGTGCCTCGGTAGATGTGTCAGGTTCAACTGCATATTCAATTAAATAAAGGTGACCATACAATTATTGTCTATTTTTTACTTTATATAATCATCTCAAACCAAGTATGATGATAAAATGTACAATTAAGCGTAACAATGTTACTTTAATTTTTAACAGTTAGTTTAATAGTATATAAAATGTCTAGTCCCGGTATAAAACTTGGAACTAAAAGTTAAGGTAAATCTCTAAAGGTTTTAATCTGTCGCCGTCTTTAGTAAAATGTAGAGAATTTCTTTTTAAATCGGCTATTCTTTTACTTAACGTTTTTTTTATCATTTAGAAACTATAAATTTCATTAAAACTTTAAATTACTTTATTTCACTAACATAAATTTTATATTTATTTTTTAAACTTAATATTGTTCACTTAAGTAATTTCCAATACAATTGAAGTTGTTCTTATGGTAATATAACCTGGAATCTATTAAATAAGTCATTTAATTTAAAAAGTCTTTGCATACCATAACATTTCAAAAATATGTACTACATAATTAGCTACACCAAATGCAGTCACACAATTAGAGATTAAATATTTGTACAAAGATTAAATGTCTTATTAGTTTAATGAAAATTAGTTCTTAACTGTCCTTTTATTACACAGTAGTAGAGAATATTACAAAAGTTGTATTATAGATTAACTTACATAAACCACGAAGTCTTTTGGACTGTGTGCGTTGGTGCCGCACACGTACAAGCGCTCACCATCGCCAAGCGGCTGGAGTACTCGGATGTGGTTTCTGCACTCAAACGGCTCTGATTTGCCTTTGCTTACACATCGCGCTACGTTACTTGCTTCTAATAGCAGTGCATCTCTCTGCAATATAATCAGAATTTGTATCTAGCTCTGTGTATATCTTACTATTTGTATAGATAATCTAGCGTCAAGCAATCTAGGATGCACTGCAAAGTACACAAAATGTACATTACTTCGAATCGATAGTATGCACAAATTGTTATTACAACGTATTAACGTTCTCTTCAAATTCAATTTAACCCCATAATATAAAACACTATGGAAATTTGAAATTAATTGTCAAATTTGAAGTACATAATAATTATAAATCATGTTTTGACACTTTACTGGTCTGATTGTATTTTAATGAGCGATTTGATACATGGTATACTGTGATCTATTTATTGAAATAAATTATAATTATAAAATATTTACCTCACAATGTGATTGGCTTATATCTGACATATTAAGCTTAAATATTCGATCCCTGTAACAAAATTAACATACAAATAATAACAGTTTTGAATATTTCAAAAAGTTATAAGAATATTTTTTTATATAAAGCTTTTAGATGAGTCCTAGTAAAAATGATAAACCCTTATACATTCATCAAATATTTTCATCTAAAATATAGTATCAAACAATTTTATTTCAACATGACAATGACAAAAAAGTCTTTCAATTTAATTAAAATTTCAATAAAAACCAAAGTTATACTGCAAACATAATGGATATTTTTGGTTGGACTAAACAATTACTTTATGAAACAAAATATTAAAATTGTAAGCAGTACATATATTGTTAAAGTGAAATTGTTATACAATATAAAGTAATTATTTCTAAGTAAAACAGAATAATAGTATTGTTTTCAGGTACTATATGTTTTTCGTTTTACATAAAAAGTTTATGTTACGAATGTTGCATAAATTTATCAAGAAAAACTGAAAAATTTTCCCTCAGAATTTGATTTTTAATACAAAACCTTATTTATTTAAGTACATTAAAATAAAATTAATAACGCGATTTTGAAAAAAAATAGAGTATAATTCGCTATATAGGAAGAGAAAACAATTTCTATGGTAAAGAATTACAGAGCAAATAAAAGCCAAACAAAATTATAGGTAATGGACTTACATGACTCGCCTTCATTTTCAAAGGTAAAAACGCTACAATTGTTTTGTATTTGCCCATAATATTTATATGGAATCATTAATACATGCAGAACATATTAACTAACTTTAATTTAAAAGCACTCTAATTTAATTTATCAGAAATAGTGACAATCAAAGAGTTTAATCAGGGAATTTTATAGTAAAATTTTTTACAATACAGACTTTTCATTATCGCTGTTCAATTACCGTAAAAGCTTTTTTTGCTTCTGTTACATTTATCTATTGTGTTTTACATACTCATGTCTCATAAACGTAAAGGATTTATTAAATACTTTTCACAATATTAGCATATTATGCATTATAGCATATTATGTCCTTGGTTAAAAATATAGTCAATTTTTATTCAAAGTAACAAAATTAAGAAAATTAAGTCAATTAAAATATAAATTGGTTATTATTTAGCGGACATTGATTTCTTGTATCAATTAAATATACACTTAAAACAAATACCACAGAATAATTGTTTTCAGCAGTAGTACACCAGAATGTTCATAACATACAATTAATGAATATTATATAAGGTTAAAAAGACTGTTTTAATGGTGAATGCAATATAGTAAAATTATTAATGGTTTAAGTATTATAACTTACATTGCACCGACGTAAAGCGTGTTTCTTTCTTCATTCATATACAGTGTACGATAAAAAAGATTCCCACAGGAGAATTCTCTTATGTGATCTGAAAAAAAGAACATTGGCTTAACGAAGTATCACATAATAATATCATCATAAATCAAAACACTTAAATATAAGGCGCATTCATGTTTTTATGTCACATTAAACCCTGTTTACACAAACGTTATTTATTCATCATATCTGCAAGCGACATGCTATAACACGTTCATAGCTTACCTCATTATTTAAGACTGTAACCAAATATGGTAATACATAAATGTAAATGATAGTAGGCACGATGTTTAGCACGATACCATACTGAAATACCAGTTAGTCGCAATTCATACAGCTAATTATGAACGGCCACAATAGAGGCGATTGGCAGGACTACACGCAAGGTCTCGTGACTGGTAAGACGCGACAGCAAAACTTGTATAACACGGACCTCTACTTAAATATATTAAACTTTGCTAATATCATGTGTTTTTTTAAATTCAACTGATTCAAATCTTGGTAATTTTTATCGTAACTTTTAAGTTATAAATATATGGTTCGCTCAGCATATTATTTTTGTAAATGAGTATTAGGATTTACCAGCTTTTACTTAAATGTGTTATAAAAAGGCTAATATTAAAAGAATATAGATATATTGAAAATTTTCAAGTCTTATTTTATATTTATCATAAATTTTACTGCGATATAAATAGTTTTTAATAATAACTGAATATGTAAGTTATTTAATTACAAATCATTGCACAAAACCTTGTACAAAACATGCTTATTAGTAAAATTTTCCAATCACTACAGCAATTTCTAAAATCCATTGCGTTCGACCAAAGTGTTTAAATACCGGCCGATTACTGCGCTAATGAAGTCATTGTTTGAATATCTAACGAACTGTGTACTGTGATTTATACAAGCAGAAATATCCTCGTGCCTAGCACAACATCTCTTAAGTAGAAGGAAGAATTCTAGAGGGCTCAACTAGTGTTGTAATATAATATTGCCAGGTTTCTCTTATACTCGTATTAATAATTTTGGCAAATTCATATAAGTTTAAATATGTTTACGTATAGCTTTTATATTTCTAACAAATATACTCGTACAACACTTAAACTATTTCTTAATCATTTTCAAAGAATTAATGAATTATAACAAACTCGAATGTATTCTGAAGACTTATTATTTGAAGAGGATTGATTGTTATATATTAACTTAAATGTCCCAAACAAACTCACAAAACAAACTTCACATTACATAAATGCAAAAGATTTATATATATTAACCAAAATTATTTGCTTTGTACATATATTTTTATATTATATATCATAGTCCATTATATTATTAATTAATCTACAAACATTGTTATGGTGTTTAAAATTTATATTCACAACGATGAGGTGGCGTATAGAGTACGGTGACGATCACATTATGTAGATAACATCGCATTCGTTGAGCGCCGCAACAAGTCTGCAACGGTTCCCCAACCAGTCCCCACTGGGGTGGCGTGTTAGCGACACTTTAAAAATATCCACCTTATTTAATTCTATATTAACAGCTTCATAATAACAAAATTTTATTTAACGTATTCAATCAATCAATATACATATTTGTTGGTTAACATTTGTAAATGTATATGTACTATCGAAACTAGAACACTCACTATTGTTAAAACTAATAATGCAGCGTGTTTTTATATATTTTTATTAAATCTTTTGAATGATGCAGTGAACAATAGATATAAAGCGACAAGTGCTTTTCAGTTCAACCGGAATGTTTGAACATTCCATGTTATGTAGTCAACGTTATACTTGCTCATGCGGCAGCTGTTTTTAAAACTTTATTTGTTTTGTTCCTTCCATTCAGTTGTTGTAACCACGATACAGTATCCGAGTCAATTAACTACTTCATTCGTATAACATATATTTCCTGCAGTTAGAAGTTATAGAAATGTAACGGTTATCGTATAGATTTATTATTTTAAATACATAAAAAAAATTTGGGAATTAAGTCGATAAAAGAAACTATTTGAAAATTATATTAATTCTTGAGACAAAACACATTGCATTTAAAATTATTTGTATTTTTTCTGAAGAGAGTTAAATTAAGAAATCTTCAACAAGAGTAAGAACAATAACAAACGCTTAAAGAGCGTTCAACTGCAAGATTATTTCAACTCCAGTCAATAAATTTTATTTGTATATTCTTTAATATCTTCAATTCGAATGAAACTAAGAAGCTTATAATTTTATACAGAAAATGTTATATATATATATTGCTTTGTTACTAATTATTATAACATTTATTTATTTTTTACATAAAACGCATTAATTAAAAAATCTAATTTACATTAACCTGTTTTACCATTTATTGGGGCTATCACGTTGTTATCAAAAATATACATTATATATATTCACGAAGATATACAGAACCCAAAATAGTTTGATATTTTAATCAAATATAGATTATTCATATAAGAAAAATTCTCATGTAACTTATTTAGAAAATCTTATTTGTAATCTAAAATCTTACAACTGCAAACAAACAAACGATTTAAAAGTCGCTTAGTGCAAAATATTTTGAGAGATATTCCAGTGGATTTCGCTTTACCACTGATAGGTCAGGAGATACGGTAGTGTCTTCCCGTAAATCTACTAGAGTAGCCAAGCTCCATAGATAGAATTGCGCAGCGGAACTCTCCTTTTTACAGCTTTCAAGTTGATTTATTGTAACCAGACATTGTCGTTTTAACTATTCGTTTGTACACGCATCTTTATTTTTAGGTGCCATAAAATTCTTGAACACATCCAGTCCTTTGTATAGTTATAATTATTTGTATAGTTACAATTATTTGTTACTTCGAAACGTATTTATTTATTTATTTTTATTTTTGACTACACACACATTTAATTCCTTTATGTTCAAAAATGTATGAAAAGAAAAGTGATCAAGGATAATAACCAGAACATTAAATTAATAAGAATAAGTAAACTTTTTACGCTAGGATTTAACTACTTATCTTCATGATTTTAAGCCCTAACAGTTAATTCTAATATAGTCTAAAATAAAATTACTTTAATCCCATAAAGAAATATAATCAGAGAGAAGCCTCATATTTTAAACATTATAGTACACTTCTCAGAAAATAAATCATATCAAATAAGCTTCAATTTAAGCTACCTAAGCTTTATCTATTACGAAGATGTCTCTGCATTTTAACTAATAGAATTTTTAATCAACTTGCTTGCGGCGACGCCACGGCACGAGTACGCCAGATTAATGTAATTGGACGACGTCGTCACAAAGGCAAATTGTAATCCCCCTCTTTTATTATACATGTCCGTAACACAGCAATCAGACAATATGTAGTACTTTTGAATTCAACATTTGAAGAATATTGATGTAATTCTTTAAAATTTGTCGAGTCATATTCCGGCTATTTTGATATGTATGGGTTAAAAGCTTTGACATCGGTGCGGATAGCAGAGAGACACTTGAGAGCAGTCACTGTCGGTACGGCTTGGACTTAAATCGGCCGATAGTCGCAGTCGTTAGGAGCGTTCCGAGTGTCGGAATAATTAAGTTGAAGCGGCGATTGTGAACAGTGCCAAGGCAGATGTAGGTCAGTGGTGGACCCGCACAACTGAGGTACGGATTTCGGACCTCCACTCCACTCCACTTGGCAACGTTCTCGCTCATGATCACATTTAAATGTCTATCATAATTGAACTCTCTTAACTATATCGTAAACAAGACTAACTAAACGCTTGCCAAATACTTGCACAATTTACTTACATTGTCTTCTACGCTTGTTTGAATTTCTCTTTACTTATGGTATAATTGTAAATGTAACATTGTATATTCTTAAATACTCTTAATTTATATCAGTTGTTTTGATATTACATGTAGCCTTAAATAAAAATATTATCAAAATTTAATTTTCTTACACATTACTTCGGGGATATTTATAAAATTTTAAATAGGTAGGAAACATACTAATTTGCTTCAAAATTTGATAACTTTTCTTTTAAAGTTATATTAATCACCGCCTTATTTAACTTTTTAATTAAAAGTTATAATTGATATCGCATATAAGTGATAGAAAAGAAAAACTACTTGGACATTTTTAGACGTAGAATTGTTTCACCTTTTACATAAAAAAAAAGACGATTACATGTTCTGTAAGTGGGCAGAGGCTTTAGCACAGCATATCTTAATTTGAACGTCTGATAACTTTTTTGTAACTTTTGTAATATATTTCAAAACTTCTCATATTAGTCACACTATTAAAAAGATTGACTGTTACTAAAGATTTTGTCCACAGAAACTAATTTGAATTAAAAAGTTTTAATAGCTTTATGTATATCCTTTTTAAATTTATATTACCAGGTTTAATTTGAGTCTGAAACATTTACTTAACTGAAACCTGAATCGTTATTTAATTTAACTATTTTATTTATAGAAATTTCCACAAAGTAAACGAATAAAGTAAGAAATTTATCACTTAATCCAAAATAACTCTAAAGACAAAGATTTGACGTCAAAGGATAATAGAATTCAAAGTTACCCGAAATCAACGCGAACTTTTGATGTGACTTTTGTAATAAAACAAACAGGACATCGTTTAGGTATCCTTTATAAACACAAATTATATAAAAGCTACATTCAAATTTGTAAGCTGTATTGTTAATGTAAAATTAAAGTAACTCCTAGTACATCCAACATCACAATGCCCCTATTGGTTCTGCATGAAGTAGGTAACCATGAAAAAAATATAATACACATGTATAGGAGAAACAAATAAAGATACGTACATAACTTAAATAATACACAGCCAAAATTATTTCTTTTTTCATAAAATATATTAATTACAAAATAATATCTACGTACATATTTATATATTAATATAATATTCAAAATAAAATAAACTTTTTATTTCTAGTCGTACATCCGATAACGTGAATTTGGCAATTTTATTAGGCTCTTAAAGGTCGGGAAGGTTTACTTCTCCCGAAGAACTTTTCATTCATTTTATGTCCTTCATTGGTTGGATAAAATGCGTTT